CAAGCCTCCAACACTGAGTATCTAACAGAGAACACCCACATCTAGCTACACTGATATCACGGCAGACAGGAGTTCCAGGCAGGGCAGGGTTGGAGGCCATGACTAAGAGCCTGAGATTTTAAGTGGTCAGAGAACAGCTTACTACAAAGTAAACTTTTCAACAAAAAATGAAGGCAGCAACAGAAGGTGGTCTGTACACTGCAGGTAGAAGGAGCTAGAAGGAAAGAGTCATCAAGGCAGACCCGCCATCAGTGAGTCAGGACCAGCAAGAAAGCCATGATGAAGGCACTAGGAAGGAAGGGAGATGGTGAAGATGGGGGATATGTGTGTAAATATCTATGTGCTAGGAAGGAAGGGAGATCGTGAGGATGGAGATGATATGTATGTAATATCTATGTATATGTGTATATGAATGAATACATGAAAAGCAGCAGTAGCTACCTCCGGAAGGGCCTCACAAGAGGTAGGAACTTTTGCTTTTGTTCTTAGTGCAGCGAGGGCCTGAGAATTTGAAGTAAGGACCACCGTGATTTGGCAGCTTTTTTTTGTCTGTTTGTTTGTTTTGTTTTTTTGAACAATGTTTCTCCGTGTTTCCCTAGCTATCCTGGAACTCATTCTGTAGACCAGGCTGGTCTCAAACTCACAGAGATTTGCCTGCTGTTGCCTCCTGAGTGCTGGGATTAAAGGTGTGCACTACTACTGTGTTTTAATGTGATCTTTTCAGCTCGTAAATCGTCTATTTAAGGGGTATCAATAATTTATTGAGATATGAAAGGGGGAAACACACTCAGGAATACAGGATATGGTAAATCCAGTTGCAGAGTCCTTGGAAGCTGGATACCATTCACAGGCTGCTTCAAGCCACCTGTCTCTGCCTTTGCCACCCAAGAGAGTGCGACCACCACACCCTCCTCCCTTACTAGAGGTCACATAGGCAGACAAAAGCACTGCCTCTATTGGGCCACCTAGCTCATGTTCATGGGTGGAGCAAATACCCACTACCCTTCCCCTTTTTGTCTGAATATGTAATGTTCTAATCGAATACAAAACTATATACAATAAGAATGATTATCAAGTATTGTCCAGAAGAAAGGGGTAATAACATAAACAAAAATGAAACTACAACCAAAAAGAACAACATCAAGTAAGGAACACATTCTAAATATACAGATCATAGGTAAGTGGCAAATTACAGAGATTACTCCAATAGCTGTCCTATCCTGGAGAATCTGAATCTAGTATGAATCTAGTAAGAACCTGATATGTTTTTAGCTAAGATATGAGAGGATAGTAACTGTAACTATCTAGTCTTCAACCCATCAAAGATCTCAGGAGGAAAATAACATTACCTGAGCAAACAGGAAGTTCAAGCAAACAACTTTCCAAAAATACAAGAAGAAAGAGAAAGAGAGAGCGCTGGCTGCCTGGACAGTCACCCAACGTTTCTTTGCAATGTTGGGGCACCCACCTTTGGCTACGGGCCTAGAAGTTGTGTTATACCATTTTCAGAAGCAGGAAATTTTGAAAGACTGTCCTGCCCTGTCAGCAAGGCACATGGAGAGAGGGAGGGAGAATTTGGGTGAATATGATCAAGACACATTGTATACATGTATGAAATTGCCAAAGAATAAAAAAGTTTTTTTTTTAAAAGGAGATGACTGCTGAAAGTATGACTTAGAGAATTTCTTTTTTTTTTTTTCCTTCAGTTTATTGTTTTGAAACTGGATTGCTCCCAAATCTTGACACTGTGTCATCAGAACTTTGTTCTGGAAAGCTTAGTCTATATGTATTGATAATTGATTGATAATTGATTGAAGTTTGGGAGACATTATATACCTGTGAGGTGTTGGGTGATGAGCCCCCCATCAGCTAACTGTCCCCTGGATCCACCATCATTAATACTTCCAGTCGATGAAATGAAGATTTGCACCCCTAGCCACAGAAGCTTAGTTGTTTGTGCTGTGACTGGGCAGGCTTATCCTTGAGCTTCTCTTTACTCTAAAGCATCACCTTTAGCATTGGTAGTCTGTGACTTCTAATTATTCCCAGTGTCCCATCTCCCCTCACTACAATAATAAAACACTGCGAGACTGAGACAGCCAAAGAGCTACCATTTGGAACCTAACACATGCCAGTCCCTCTTCCAACTAGCTGTGGCTTTAAGACTCAGCTTCAGTAATGAACTTATGCAGAAGTGACAGGGGCTGCTTCTGAAACATACCATCATGAAGTTGCTTCTTCTTCATCGCTGGCTGTGTCATTTTGCAGGTTACTGACTTTTTTCTCATTTTGTCTAAAGCATATATTGAAGATTGTGTCCTTTTGGAATTCTATAGCTTTCTTAGTCTGTTTTCTGATGGGCTTGGAATGGGGGCCTACAGGTAACATCATCCAGCCTTGGTTCCATATTGCAGTGTGTATGTGTGTGTGTGCACAAACACACACACACACGCTTGCTTCCTTTCTTGCTTGCTTAAGACAGGGTCTCCATATATATTGTAGATTTCCTTTTAACTTCCCATGTAGCTGAGGCTATCTATCCTCGAGGGTTGATCCTCCTAGATCTGCCTCTTGAGCATGAGGTTGTGTTGCTCTTCACTATTCCTGACCTAACATGCTTTTTGATAAGGTGTATAAGTGCATAAAGGGTCCAGTTTTAGCTGACTTGAGGGAATAATACGGGCTAAGTGGTTTTTGGTCATGGGCTCCATTATCTTTTCTAAGAAGGACAATAAACAACAAATCTTCAAATTTTTTATCTCCTTCCATCTTTTAATGGAAAATGATGCATTGATATGAACTTGAGTGTTATTCTTTGAGTGAAGACTTTTGAGATTGCTTATTTTTATAGAGACCAAAACAGAAATTCATGCAACCAAAAGAACCACAAACTGCTTAAGACCACTTGCCACTGGGATTTTAAGAAATCATTTTTACAAATAATGTCTCCAGACACCACCATCTCATAAATAATTTCTACAGTTCTTAGGGCAAATTCTGTGTGTTTTTCTTGGAAGAAAATTGAAATGACATTACCCACTGAACTAGAGGGCTGTGGAGGGAACGGAGGGTGAGTGCAACATTGGATAAGGGGTTTTGGGTGGCTTTTGGGACACACAGCTGTAATGAAAAGATGAAAGTTGGCATATACGTTCTGAATAGAAGGTCTATTCAGTAGAGAGAGAGAGAGACTTTAACATTACAACGTAACAATATCAACATCATGGAACTCAGAAGTGGTGAACTCTAAGTACTGAATATAGAAACAACCTTTTCTGTTTCCTGTAACTCTGCTGTTATTTTTTAGACTGATTCAAAAAATTTTAACTACTATAAGCTAACCAACACATACAGCGAAATATAGGAATATGATTTTGTTTAGCAACCCAGGAATCTGAGCTGGAAGTCTACAGGTGGTCTACTTTATTTGTGTCCTCTAAGTATGTGTTTAGAAATAAGGTAGTATTGGGCCTGCAATAAATAAAGAAAGAAATAATGGGACAATGGAAAACACTATTAAGGTAATATATTGAATAATAAGATCCTCTCAGGGTGTAAATTGTACAAATTTGAAAATACTAAATTACATTTATTATTTAACCCCACATTACTAAACAGTGCCTACTCAAGAGACAAACTTGGTTTAGTATACCAAATTAGAGGCTATTTAATAAATAAGAAGATTTAAAAGCAGGGTTATGCATATAGCTAAAGTATATGTGTGCCTTTAAATATTTCCCCCATTGGTGTTAAGAATATTTTATTTTTATTACCACAAGTAATAAACATGAAATAGGACTTGTATTGGTAGGGACACTTGAAATAGAGCCCATCTTAAATAAAAATGTATTTAAAAGGACTATCAGGAACCAGTTTTCACATAAGTAGCTTCTGAATACGTCAACATTTTTGTCAAAATGTTACTGAGTAAATTCTAAGCATGCTAAAGTGTTCCAGGTGAAATAAATTACTTTATAGACTATTGAGGAGTCTATGTGTCCTAGCTGTATACTGCTTCATATTAAAATATTGCAAGTCTATGACTTCTAAGAATTCTCACTCTAGAAGGTTCTTTGCTGAGTGGAGCTAATTTAGGTTGCAATAAGGATAAGGGTTTTTTTCCCCTTTCGGGTTAAAAAGCTTACGTGTAATTTGGGGTGGTGGTGAAAGCACAAGTCCTCACGAAAGTGCTTATAAACCAGACCTGTACATCACCTGTCCCCAAAGCTTTCTAACCGCCTGGCCTACCTGTCTGCACACTGATGGGCAGGGTGAGCTACCGACTGAGTCATTGCCAGTTCTGGCAAACAGAACTCTCTGGGGACCTGGGCTTGGAATCCATCTTAGGGTCAGCCATCCTCTACAACCTCGTGTCCCCTGTTTCGGAGCAAGTGCGTTCGACTGAGGAAGATCACTTACGACTGAGTTTTTCATCATGGCTTTGACTGTGAAGCCCTCAGAAACCAGGGAATGAGGCTGATGCACCGGGAGCGGCTGTTGTGGCAGCAGTTTGGTCCTCTTCGGCATCTTGTCTGGGCATTTGTTTAAGGTCAGAGTCTCTTTTTCTGCCACCATCTTCCTAGAAATCGTCTTGCTCTTATCAAAAGTGTGGTAGAAAAATCAGGGGGTTTTACAGATGTGAGCAGGAGGTCGGGGAAAAATGTAAAAAGGCGCGTTACTGGTAGAAATTCAACCCCTCGTGGTGCCCAGGGTGATCCAGATGTTTGGCAGCTCCAAGGTGAAGGGAGTTTAGGGGAGGGGAGGGGCGGGAAGAGGGCTGGGACCCGAGGCTTGGAGTCGCAACAAGCTTCCAAAGGTGAGCCTCCTGGTTGCTAAGCGACTCCTCAACACTACGGCCCGATAGTCCCGCCCCTTCGTGACGCACGTTTCCTGGGTCTTAAATCCGGAAAGGGCGAACGGCGGTGGCTGTCGCAGCCAGAGGAGATTCTTACGCGTTAAAACTACAACTCCCAGCAGGCTTCGCGCATCTGGGCGGATGCGCACGCGCACTGGGCCTGCTGGCCGCGTGGGGAGGGCCAACCTGGATGACTAAACCCGAGAGAAACGCTGGTGGGCGGCTTGGGCGGGTGTCGGTGCCCGCGTAGGCCCTGCTTGCCCCGCAGCCACCACCCGCCCGGTGACCATGATAGGTACGTGTGTGCCTGCCAGGTACAACCTCTCTGCGCCGCCCCGCGCCCGTGCGTGGCGCCACGTCACACCCCACGGGTCCGAGCGCGAGCCGCGGGGGCTGGCCCGAGCCACCTGGTGACACACGGGGCGAAGGCGTGTGCACCGCGCTCCGCCCGCCCGGTGGGCGTCCTCGGCCCCGGGGGCCCGCGAGTGACCGGGTGCGGGGTGTCCCACGCCGCCCTTGCCCGGGGCAGGCATCCCCGCGGGCGGACACCCGGCTGCACCGCGACGCCCTCCCACGGCGGGGCTCGTCCAGCACGGTCAGCAGCCTGGCGCTCTGCCACCCCTGAGCGACGAGCAGCCTAGGTTTGCACCTGTCAGGGACTGTCATGCTGTCCTTCACCTCAGGGCAGGTTCAGACCCTGTAGGACTTTTAAGAAGCCCTCAGGAAGCCTTCTACTGGTGGAAATAATGGGCTCCAAAGAGATGGCACCTTGCACCTTCAGTTCTGTCTTTTTAAAAAATGTCTCCTCGAAGATCTGAGGCGAAAGAGTAGCAGAGAGTAGGTGATAGCCAAGGTGGAGACTTTTGACAGGTGGCGGACGGGGTGCAGTCTGATGAGTGCAGCTTTGGAAGCGGCCACTAGGGTCGCCGTAAGCACCGTGAAGTAGGAAGGTTTGAAAGGTCCTCTCAGAGATGTCAAAGTCCCAGTCACTTCTCCCCCCAAATGAGTAGAAATGCGCAGTGGTGCTGGGCGAATATTCCTGATTGACGGTTTCCTTACTGTAGACGCCTGCCAACGGTGTCTTGATGCTTTGGTGATTTTGTTTGTGGTCTATGCCTGAGAAGCATCACTCCAAGCACGTTTGAAGTGGCTCTATCCGAAGTGTGTCCAGAAGACAGATGAGAGGTGGCTTTATGAAATAAATGCTTTACATGCTGCGAGTAGCTACAACTGCTTTTACCTACGAAAGTAAGGTTAGAGTGCGCACGCAGCCTTCCTTACCCCTCGCTGGGGGAAATCATGCCAGGTCGATAACCTCCTCACTGAAGCAGAGGTTCAAGCGACAGATAGCCAGCTTCTCTCACCTTGGTAGGGTAGTGTGTATTTTTGCTGAATAAATTGGAAACTTGTTAAATTTATAGAAAAGGTACATTTCTATGAATCTTACTGAGCCTTTCAGGTGACGTCTCCTTAAGAGCTGGTTTGTAAATACAAAGCTGAACTGAGTCAGTGAACCAAGCAGGAGAGATTAGAAAAATTATGGGAGATTTTACAAGAAAGAAATATTTCATATTTTGAAGAGAATTGCACACGTTTAGTTTCTTCCAACTCAATCTAGTTTATGAATGAATTTTGAGGCGCATATGCCCTATAAAGCTATATAAAGACAGGAAATTAAGAACTAGAAATAATTATTTGTATAAAGAATCTAATAAATTATATTAATAACTTTTAGGATGGAACAGATTTGGGCAGTTTTATTAAGATTTATCTGGAACTCTCTTAATAAGAAGTGTGATATCTTAGTGTCACAACTAAATCCATTGCTGACAGAAACAAGCGAGATACAAGGTGAATTTAAGCCTGTTCCTTCACTTTCACTAATGACTGTTGTATGGTGAACAAGTGTACATTTTCACACAAATGGTTAAATCGCTGTCTCCCATCCCAGGAAAAGGAACTTGAACTTGCATATCTAAAAAACTGCATAAAAATGTTAAATTATTTAGTTCACCTAGTTTTATTTCCTAGTTCTATTGGAGGCCATTTTTAAGGAGTTTCTGACTTGCCAGTTCTGATTTGGGTGTGTTGATAACAGTCAGAACAGGCGAGAGTGAATCAATTGTAAGGAAGGCCTGGAGTCACCCTTGAGCCAGGAAGCGAAGGCTGAAGGTCTTTGTCCAGAGGTCTGTTGCAGTCAAAGGACATGTAGATACCTCTAGAAATGGAACAGTGTTTCACACTGCTCAGCACACAGAGCTGGTGCTGTTTATCCCTGTACTCTCCCGCCTTGCTGCATCCTCCTAGTGCAGGAAAGGGGACAAATATTTCAGTACCCACGAAACAATTTTCCTTTTATTGTTTCAAAATAGAGGGTTCCTTCTTGTCCTGGGAATGGCTTTAAAGGTACTTCCATTTCCCTCTTGGATTATGATTGATGTGTTAAATGTCTTGACCCAGACAAACTTAAACCATAATTTAATTGAAGTCAATGCAAAAGTTTGCCTTTGTGAGGTATGGAAAAAGGATTCAAGATAATGAAAAGCTTCAGAAAACTTAACTGAGAAAAATGTAATTCTGAGCACCTCTTTAAATTTTTTTTTATCTTTTAAAAAATGAGCACTTCTTTGTGTTTAAAATTGAATTTTAGTGGTGACAATTGTGAATTGTTCTAAATGTCCTATACATTTAGGCCTTCGATAACATCAGCTATTAAAGGACATGGGTTCTCACACAATTAAGATAGGAAGTTCTTAAATGAAAGCTCGGTGTTACGCAGGGTTTTTGAGATAGAAATGTAGCTCAGTGATGTAGCCTAGGATTCATTAGACCTGGGTACCATTCAACGGTGTTTTTTTAATTGATTAAAAATATTATTTTCTATATCTTGTGGAAAATCTCTTAGCAAATTTAACGGCATATAAAGATCACACTTGTTACTGTCTATTCTCCAATTTTATGATGTTAGCTATGAAAGTGTTCTCTCTTCTGAGTGCGTGTTCAGTAGCCATAGGCCTTTCAGTGTGCCTGCTGTCCATGTTGTCGGTGGCCCTGTCCTCTCTGACAGTGTCAGTGTACATTTTATTATCACTTGACAGCAAGTGTTTTTTTATTGTCTTGTTTATAGATAAAGGATAAACATTTTACTTCGAAATGGGTTTTAGGAAAAGTACTTCATTTTATAATGATTTAATTTTACAAAAGCAGATTCCAGCATCAAGCATGGATTCCATGTCTGATACTGTGAGTTGATGCCAACGATACAAGAACGGAGTAGACAAAAAAAATGTTTTGTCATTGTAAATATTCTGTCTATATTGACTGTTGGCCCAGAGTCTGGCTTTATTTTAAACTTTCCCGCAAGGATTTTCAGTCTCAGACTCTGTCGTTGTACGAGAATGTACTGTGCTTTGCCTTGTCCTTTAATAATATTGGATGAAAGCAGCTCCTCATCTAAGACTGTTTGTCATGAGGGCCTTGTGCCACCACGTCACAACGTGGTCTCAGCTCCTCATCTAAGACTGTTTGTCATGAGGGCCTTGTGCCACCACGTCACAACGTGGTCTCTATGGAACTTTTGGAGAGAAGAGTTTGTATAATTCTATTCAGTACTCTTTTGGGTCCAAAGCCTCTGAAAGAATCTTATGTCCTTTACAAATGTTGGTCCTATTTCTAAAGGCTTTTCTGAAGTCTGCATTTTTTTTTTTAAATTCAAAGCTCTATGGCTTGAAAATGATACAGTAGAAGGACTTGGTATTAATATATGCAAATCCACCCCACCTCTAAAGCTTCTTTGAACCCCCACCTGCCCCCCACACAAAAGGAAAAAGAAAAAGAAAGAAAAAGTTCTCCTTATTTCAAAATGCTTAATATTCATGAACCAGGTTCAATGCAAAATACTTTATTCTGTTAGCTTTCAGTTCTTTGATCAATGAGAATTGTTTCTTACCTGCTGTTTCTTCAGCCTTTAGTGGTAGCCCAGTGCTTTTTCAATGTTTCTGTTTTAATTTGCATTTAATGAGCTCATTTTAAATGTTTCTTCGTAGTACTCTGAATGGTTTCCTTTTCACACTTATAATATTAAAGACTGAGACATATGTGACAGCTAGCTGATTTGTATTGTAGCCCCCAAACATGGTTTATTTACTTCATCACATAGAGGAGGGCTGTGGTTACAAGGGTACCATTAGCAGTCCTGTTTCCCCTATGACTGTGTTTCCTCATCACCTACAACTCTATTAGGCTAGTCCAATCTCCTCACTCCTCTCCCACTAAATAGCATGTTTTCTTTCTTGAATTAATAGATATTTCAATTAACAGTAATCATTCCAATATCAGTTCTTTATAAGGACTATGTTAAGTGATGCTGCCCAGGAATGTTCTCTCTCTCTCTCTCTCTCTCTCTCTCTCTCTCTCTCTCTCTCTCTCTCTCTCTCTCTCTCTCTCTCTCTCTCTGCATCTGTTCTGTAAGGGAAGGAAACAGAAATAGGAATCCATTTATCCCTATGAGTTGTGATTTACTTGGCCTGATAAGAAGTGTATGTGGTACAGACTTTACTTTGTCCATTATAGAAGCAGAGTGTGATATTTGTATTCATACTGTTTCATGGGAATTGTGTTCTGCTGTGTGCTCAGTTTAGATATGATCTTTATATATGATACAAACAGAGAGTAATAGGATGAAGATCTAATATCAGACAATACCCACTCTTGTTCATTTAGGAATTGATGAGCTGCCCAATGGGTAGGCAGAGGAATTTTTCCTTTTATTTTGATGCCATCCCCGCCATAATTTCTTCGTTTGACTTTTTTTTCTCTTTAATGTGTTGTGGATAGTATCAACCATATCAACCACATGAATACTTTCTGCCATGGTGAAATTCTCCAAAAGATCTGTATGCTTGTCTTTATATGCCTGTGGTTTATGGGCGTTCTTTGTGAAGGTTACTGTAACTGTGATAAAACATGACGACCAAAGCAACTTGAAGAGGAAAGGATTCATTTGGCTTATACTTCCTCAGCACTGTTTAACCTTGAAGGACGCCAGGGCAGGAACCTGGAGGCAGGAGCTGATGAGGAGGCCATGAAGGGTGCTGCTTACTGGCTTGCTTTCTATGGCTTGCTCAGTCTATTTGCTTACAGAACCCTGAACCAGGGATGGCAGCACTCACAATGGGCTGACTGGGCTCTTCCCTGTAGACCACTAATTAGGAAAATGCCCTGCTTCTTGTCTACAGCCTGATCTTTTGGAGGCATTTTCTTAATTGGTATTCCCTCCTCTCAGATATCTTTAGC